ATGATAATTTGGTGGGAGGAGTGATTCGGTGAGTTTTGAGTGAAATCCAATTGCTAGAACTATGCAATACACCAACCACTCCATTTGTGGCACAAACTGAGTACGAACTTGAATTGTCCAATTTCTATGGCCTATTGATTTCATATTGGGCCTAAAACTTGGTCGAAATCATAATATGGTGGGAGGAGTCATTCAGTGGGTTTTGAGAGAAATCCAATCGCTAGAACTATGCAATACACCAACCACTCCATTTAAGGCACAAACTGAGTACGAACTTGAATTGTCCAATTTCTTACACCTATTGATTTCAGAACGAGCCCAAAACTTGGGCAACATCATAATTTGGTGGGAGGAGAGATTCGGTGAGTTTTGAGTGAAATCCAATCGCTAGAACTATGCAATACACCAACCACTCCATTTGAGGCACAAACTGAGTATGAACTTGAATTGTCCAATTTCTATGGCCTATGGAATTCGGAATGAGCCTAGAAGTTGGGCAACATCATAATAAGGTGGGAGGAGTCATTCGGTGAGTTTTGAGTGAAATGCAATCGCTAGAACTATGCAATACACCAACCACTTCATTTAAGACATAAACTGAGTACGAACTTGATTTTGTAGAATTTCTTACACCTATTGATTTCGGATAGAGCCCAAGAGTTGGGTAACATCATAATAAGGTGGAATGGGTCATTCGTGGAGTTTTGAGTGAAATCCAATAGCTAGAACTATGAAATACACCAACCACTTCATTTATGGCACAAACTGAGTACGAACTTGAATTGTCCAATTTCTATGGCCTATTGATTTTGGATCGAGCCCAAAACTCGGGCAACATCATAATAAGGTGGTAGGAGTTATTCGGTGAGTTTTGAGTCAAATCCAATCTCTAGAACTATGCAATACACCAACCACTTCATTTAAGACACAAACTGAGTATGAACTTGATTTGTTGAATTACTTACACCTATTGGTTTCTGTTGGCGGCTCAAATCTCACGGCCTGGTACTCCGGGCCGAGGGGATATGCGTTAACACGTGACGTCCTTCTTTTGGATGCGGTGCGGTTGTGCGCGGGCTTGCCAGCACGGTCTACCGTGCGTCGAGATGGTGATGTGGTTTGGATAGAATGGTTTAAGTGGTGCGCCTGTTTTGAGTCTGACTTCTAATCAAACGATTGTGGCCGAGAGAGGAACTGATCTCGGCCGTCAGGTTCACGGCCTGAGCTACAAGGCTGTTTAGTGGTGGTGTTGATGGTGGGTTTTGGGCGGTGCTCCAGCGCGTTGCTCAGAGAGA